TCCGCGGGCAGCGGGCAGCTCTGCATTTGAGCAGGACTGAACCTGGAGAAGAAGGTGGGAAATTCTCGCATTTTCCATGATTTCAGGCCCCTTGGTGTTCGTGGCAACCGAGACCCAGACCCACCACCCAGGGCGGGCCGGGGTCCAGCCAGCGCAGGCACACAGAGGGCCCATTCAGCCGCGGCATAAGCAGGGCCAGGCGGGCAGGGGCGGAGGCCGAGAGGAGAGCAGGCGGGAAGGGCTCCACCGAAGACACAAAGTGCCCCCTGCTGTTGGGGATGGTGGCCTGCCGCCGGCCGCCGGGGAGGAAGAAGCAGGGCCGGGACCCACACTCCTGACCCCAAACCCCACTTCGGAACGGCAGAGTGTGCACCAGCTCCCGAAGGCAGCTGGGGGAAACTGAGGCTGGGCGGAACCGGAACCATGGCCTCCGCGAGGCAGATGTCTCTAGGGGTGTGGGAGGACGGGGAAGGGGTGTGGACCGGCCGCAGGGTCTCGGCTGGAGCTCCAGGCTGCCTGGAGGGGCTGGGAGGGGGCTCAGAGCGGGGGAGATTCGGGGCTCTGGAGACACTCAAGGCAGCGGGGGGCCCTGTCCCGCAGCCGGAGCCCCGGAGCACATGGGCGCTGTAAGCACAGTCTCGCCAAGAGCGGCAGACCCCCTGAACTTGGGGGGCTCCGAGAGCAGCCCCCATCCCTGGGCTCAGGAGCACTGCGCCCCCACCCCCCGCCCGCCCGGTTCAGACCGGCTAACACGTCTACACATCTGGAAAGCTTGTCCCCCAGGCCGACTGCGGGCCTCACATCTGGAAATACCTGGTCCCCTCCGTGGGAATGGAGGCCGGCCAGCCCCCGGGGAGGAAGGGGGCCGGGGCCTCCATTACGTCAGCGGGCTGCAGATGTGCGCTGATGTGGCAACACCCGCTGGCCGCAGCTGGGCTGGCCGCGGCCCAGGGGTGAGATTTCCTCACCGCCTCTCCCCGCAGCCCCTCGCGGCCCGTCTGGCTCTCTCCCTCCCTCAACCCCCTCTCAGCCGTGGGGCCCCTTCGGGGGGCTGGGAAGGGGAGCAGCGGGCCATCGCTCAGGCACGGCTCGGGGGGCTTGCAGAGAGCCTGCGCCTGGGGCCGGCTCCGGCTCGAACCCCACTTGCCTGTCCTCCTCGGGGTCCCCCTCTGGGCTCGCTCCCCAAGGGGGCTCCTGCTGCCGCCGCTCCGCCTTCTGGGACCAGTCGCTGAAACCCTCATCCTCGTCCAGTTCGGGGCTCTCCGAGGCCTTCAAGCTGAAGCGGCAGGACAGGAAGGGGCTCGGGCTGGCCGGACGCTGTGCCACAGAGGCAGGACCGGAGCCTGGGCCAAGTCCCCCATTGTCAAGGGTCCCTGAGGCCAGGGGCTGCGTCCCCTCCAAAGTCTGGAGCTGCCTGAGGCCACAGCTGTGTTCACTCTATGAGCATAGGGCTCCCCAAGAACACGGCTATGTTTACCCCATGTGTTTAAGGCTCCCCAAGAGCTGGGGTGTGTCTCTCCCATCGGTCTAGGGCTCCCCAAGAGCTGGGGTGTGTCTCTCCCATTGGTCTAGGGCTCCCCGAGAGCTGGGTTGTGTCTCCCCCACTGGTCTAGGTGTCCCCAAGAGCTGGCCCGTGTCTTCCCCATTGATCTAGGGGTCCCCAAGAGCTGGCCTGTATCTCCCCCATTGATCTAGGGGTCCCCAAGAGCTGGCCTGTGTCTCTCCCATTGGTCTAGGGCTCCCCGAGAACTGGCCTGTGTCTCCCCCATTGGTCCAGGGGTCCCCAAGAGCTGGCCTGTGTCTCCCCCATCGGTCTAGGGCTCCCCGAGAGCTGGGGTGTGTCTCCCCCATCCGTCTAGGGCTCCCCGAGAGCTGGGGTGTGTCTCCCCCATCCGTCTAGGGCTCCCCGAGAGCTGGGGTGTGTCTCCCCCATCCGTCTAGGGCTCCCCGAGAGCTGGGGTGTGTCTCCCCCATCCGTCTAGGGCTCCCCGAGAGCTGGGGTGTGTCTCCCCCATCCGTCTAGGGCTCCCCGAGAGCTGGGGTGTGTCTCCCCCATCCGTCTAGGGCTCCCCGAGAGCTGGGGTGTCTCTCTTCCATCGGTCTAGGGCTCCCCAAGAGCTGGGGTGTGTCTCTCCCATCGGTCTAGGGCTCCCCGAGAGCTGGGGTGTGTCTCTTCCATCGGTCTAGGGCTCCCCAAGAGCTGGGGTGTGTCTCTCCCATCGGCCTAGGGCTCCCTGAGAGCTGAGGTGTGTCTCTCCCATTGGTCTAGGATGTCCCAAGAGCTGGCCTGTGTCTCCCTCATTGGTCCAGGGGTCTCTGAGAGCTGGGGTGTGTCTCCCCCATCTGTCTAGGGCTCCCCGAGAGCTGGGTTGTGTGTCCCCCATCGGTCTAGGGCTCCCTGAGGGCTGGGTTGTGTCTCCCCATTGGTCTAGGGGTCCCCAAGAGCTGGCCCGTGTCTTCCCCATTGATCTAGGGGTCCCCAAGAGCTAGCCTGTGTCTCCCCCATCTGTCTAGGGCTCCCTGAGAGCTGGGTTGTGTCTCCCTGGTTGGTATAGGGCCCCCCAAGAGCTGGGTTGTGTCTCCCCCATTGGTCTAGGGCTCCCCGAGAGCTGGGTTGTGTCTCCCCCATCTGTCTAAGGCTCTAAGAGCTGAGTGTGTCTCCCCCATTGATCTCAGGGTCCCCAAAAGCTGGCCTGTGTTTTTCCCATTGGTCTAAGACTCCCCAAGAGCTGGCCTGCATCTCCTGCATCAGCCCGTGGGGTGGGGGATCAGTCTTCTGCTCTCCCAGCTGAGCCCCCCTGGGCCTGGACCCCGGCTCCTTCCCCAGGCAGCAGTGTGAGCCCCTGTACCCCGTTTCCCCACCACAGGCTTGTGATTCTGGCACCAGTGAGCCCCCTGTTCCCCCACCTCCAGCCTCTGCTTCTTCAGGGACCTGGCTCGAAGGGCCGTGACCGCCGCGGCACCCCACCCCGCCCGGAGCCGCTGACTCGGAGAAAATGGAACAAAACGGGGCCGGGAAGGGGGCGATGCTGGAAAAACAGCCCGGCCCAGCCCAGCCACGGAGGCCTCCTGGGCCTGGGAGGAAGCGAGCCGGCCTTGGCCCGCCAAGGTAGACGTGGCCTGTGTGAGTCACCGGCAGGAGGGAGCTTGGGCGGGGGGCTCGGGGGCCTCGCAGCTGGGGTCAGAGTTGGTCCAAGCAAGGGCTGGGGCCTCTCAGGGCGGCCAGAGCCGGATCAGCCTGGGAAGCTGGCTGGGGGCGGGGGACGGGGAGGGGAAGCTGCTGTGCCTCTGGCCAGGCGTCCTGCAGAGTCCACTGGCTCCGGGGGCTGCGACGACCCTCACTCAGGAGCACCCCCCAATCCTGCCCCTGGTCTCGTCTGCTCTGCGGCCCCCGAACCCCCTCTGCTCGGGGGCAGGACAGGCGGGGCTGCCTGGTGCTTACAGCTTCTCTTGCTCCAGAGGCTCTGGGCACGGGCCACCTCCATCCTGGTCCTGGGTCCCCAGCTGCCTGTCCCTCTCCTGCTCTTGTCGTTCCGGGGTGACCTCCTCCTCATCTTCTAGACCCCACTGCGCGGAGAGCCTGGGGGACACAGAGAAACAGTCACCGTCGGCCCACACCCCGCTTCCCCCGTGCAGGCAGGCCTTGCAGGGCTGCGTGGGGAGGGCACTGGACCGCCCCGGCCCTGTCTAGGCCTCCGTGTCCCCATCTTTAAGGCAGAGGTCGTAGGAGATGGTGGCGACGGGGCCCTCTGCGGGGAAGTCTTTGGGTTCTGTAGGCATCTCACGCCCGGGTGCCTCCTGGTGGTGGAGGGGATCCTGTGTCTAGGCAGGAGCAACCTAAGGATGGGACAAGACCCTCTGTGCCCTTCAGCTGCCTGGATTCCCGGCCCTGAGCGGAGCCAGGACACACGCCATCGAGGTCTTGGCCGCAGGCAGGGCCACCCAGCTAGGCAGCCACCCCAAATGGTGTGCCCCTTCCTGTCTCCCAAGAAAGAGGTGCCCTGAGAGAAGCTGGCCCCCCCAGAGGAGCCTGCAGCCGGAGAAGGAGCTGCCTGCAGCTGGGGCCCCGCAGGCTTGGCTCGCCCAGCGCCCCCCACCCTCGCCCTCTCGGGGCCCTGCACAGAGTCTCTGGGCTTTTTCGGAGATGGGGAAACTGAGGCGCGCTGCAGAGCTGGGCACGGGAGGGCCTCCTTTCTCAGCACGTGCTGACCCCTCAGCTTCTCAGCGTCTCTGGGACTGGAGGGGCCGAGCCTGGCCGCCCCTGCCCTGGGCCAGGAGACCCCGAACACTTGGTGTTTAGCCCGCACGGTCCTGCCTCCCCCAGCCCCCCTACAGTGGGAGAGGGGAGTCGTGGGTTCCCACATTTGCAGGGCGCACAGCCCCGGCCTGGGGTCTCAGCCCCTTCCTGCCGGTGTCCGCTGAGTGACCCCGCAGCTCCCCATCCTCTGGGCCTCCGCCCGAGGCCTCAGCAGCCAGCGCGTGATCTAATCTCTCCTAAGTCTCCTTGGAGCCTCTCCGACAAAAGCCAGGCCCCTCCGCAGCCTCAGCTCAAGGCCCGCTCCCCCGCCCGGGCGGCAGCCCACCCCCAACGCCCGCCCCAGGCCCCCGAGCCTCCATCCCCACACCTGGTCCCATCACGCGGCACAGGAAGCCCCACCTCCCCCTCCAGGCCCTCGGCCGGGGGGCTGCGGGGCCTCACTCTGTGTGGGAGGGAGAGCCTGGGGTGCTCTCGGGGCTGTTGGGTGTCTGGGAGCCGGGGTCCCTTCCCGCTGCACACACCAGCAGCCCCTCCAGATGGCAATGGGACCCCTGTGCTGGGCCTCACGCCGCGGGATGGAGGGAGGGTACCCGTGGACCTGTCCTGCAGCCACCCGGGGGGGGCAGGCACCCCAGGAAGACTCTTTGGAGGAGAGAGGCGGCCATCTTGTTCTCTCGCCCCATGTCTAAGCTGCACGCGCCCACAGGCGTGTTTCTGCTGGGGTGTCTTGGCCATGTGTGGCACAAGGGTGTGTGCCATGGGCCCGAGGCCTGGGGCTGACCTCGGCTCCTCCTCAGACCCCTCCCCAAGTCCTGGGGACCCTGCACCAGCAAAGCCCACCGCGTGGGGGTGTTGACACATGTGCGAATCCCCACGTCCAGGCCACAGCAGCACCACACAGGCCCCCGCTGGGCTCCCGTGCCAGGCCGGACGTCCCTGGGCCTCTCCTGCCCACGCGGACACACGCGCTTTTCCCGTGAGCTCCACGTAGGCACTTGCAGCCCCCCACCCGTGGGCCCAGACACCCCGCGCCATGCACACACGTGAGCACACGCGGACGTGCACGTGCAGACCGGGACACGGGAACAAGGTGAGGGCGTGCTGGCGGGCCCGGCCCCCAGCTCTGTTTACTGTTTTGCTGGCCGTCACCCTGACGACCGCCCTGGGAGAGGCCAAGGCACATTTTCTGAGAATATCCTCTCGGAGGCCCCTCTCGGGGTCGCCCCCTGCTCTTGCCGCAGCGTGGGGCCCCCCGAGCCCTCCTGGCGGGGAGCTTGGGGCAGCAGAGTCGGGGTGCAGGGCAGGGGTGTCCCAGTGTCTCCACAAAGCCCCATGCTGGGAGGAGCCACCCCTCCACAGCCCCTGACCCAGCAGCCCAAGGACAAGGAGCCAGGGAGGCCCCTTCCCTCCCCGCCCCCTTTCCCTCCGGAGGCCCCAGGATATGAGTAATGCAGCCCCCCCGGCCCCTCCCATGACCTCAGCCCCTCTCTGAGCCGCAGCTGGGCTCTGTTCTAGGAACTGGGATGGGGGTGGCTCTCTTGGGGTGGGGTGGGGGCCTCTGGCCTGGGAAAGGCGCCCCCGGCCAGAGGCCCAGACCCCTTGGCACGCTCAGCGGAGCTGTCAGGACGCTGGCGACAGCCGGCCGCCTGTGGCCCCAGCTCAGCCGGCTGCAGCTGCAAGGGATTTGCTGTTCCCCAGCAAATGCAATTAGGCGATTTCCTGTGTCTGTTCTGGCTCCGTGCTTGAGGCCCAGGGTTCAGCCCGAGGGGCGCGGAGTGGGGCCCCGCACCCCTGTGTCAGGCTCCACCGCGGGGGCCCTGCCCCACCCAGGTGCACCAGCACGTGAGACCCCAACAGGCCTGCAGGCTTACGGCTCCCCACACTGAGTGAGGGGGGTCCCTGAGTTTGGGGGCAGCCCCCACGGGCCGGGTATATCGCATACAGGTCCCCCACTGAAGACGCCGGCCCCCTCCCCTCCTTCCTCCGTAGCCCCCAGTCCCACCAAGGGCAGGTGGTGCCAGGCCTGGCACTCCCAGCTGTCCCTCC